GTCTCTGGTGGCCAGGCCCCCAGCCTGGCATGGCTCTTGGGCAGCAGCTGGGAGGCTATCAGAAACCTCAGGGGGCTACAGAGACCTTGGTGATGAGTGTCTTTCTTTCTCTCCTCTTCCTCCTCTCCTGCATGGCCTCCCTCTCTACCAGCACTGGAAAGTCCTGTTTGATCAGGTACGTGAGCAGTTAACCCCCCCCCTCCAGCCCTCCCTGAAGTCGGTCTGTCTCCCTGTTTGCTTGCGTGGGCTTCCCTTGCTAAGCGCTCCTGAGAGGGTGACGTCGGTGGGGGTGTGGCTTAGTGCATCTCTTAGGCTGAGTGACAGGGCGCTCCAGGTATCTGGAGGAAGCAATAGGCTTCCCTCAGAGAATCCCTCCCTCCCTCCTCCTCCCAGCTCCGCTGCATCAAAGCGGAGTTTAAGCTGTGTAGAAATTGGACAATATGTACTGAATACCTGGGAAGTTCTCTGTATGCCAGGGGATTGCACTAGTGGGATGGGGTGGGGGAGGGCTTGGGTTAATAGGCCCTCTCCTTTTCTTCCTCATCATCAAAGATCTATGGTCACTTCTGTGGTCAGCCCTTTACCATCCTGGTAGCTGGGGGAGTGACTTACCATATAGGTTCTTTTGAAGGCTGATTTTTTGTTTTTGTTTTTGTTTTTTTTAAGTAAGATTTTTGGTATAGGGTGCTGCCATAGAGACAGAGACAGAAAGCGAGACATCACCTCCCAGGGGGGATGACCACACCTCAATCCCTTCTCCTCCGTTCTCCTCTCTGGATTTTGGGCATGCATGCACATACACGTGCCCGGGGTGAGTTTTAAGCTGCTTGGGTATGGGACTCGAACCGCGGTTGACTACGTGGGAGTCCAGCGATATAACTATTATTCCATTAGCTGGTCCCTGATTCTGTTTCTTTACTTGTGCAGTAGGGATGGGGGAGTACTGGAAGGTTGCAGGTGGAAAACAGTTTGTGGTTAAATGCGGTGCATAGAGTCTAGGTATGGGAAATGAAGCTGGGAGGGCCAAATGCTGGCTTTTGAATCTGGAGATGAGTATTTGACCTTCAGCAAGGAAATGATTCTCTTCTTTGCTTGGTCCTCATGTTGGGTGCTGTTGTGTATTTCCTTCTCTCTTTTCATCTCATGGCGTAGGAGGGGAGCCAGGAGCACCCCCTTTGGGAAGGGGTGGTGAATGCTGCAATCCCCAGGTGAGAATGATTGTGTCATGAAGTTTGTGCAACTTCAAGGGATTGGTCTGGTTGGACCTAAGGGACTGTATTAGATTGGAAAAGGGGGTAAAGCATAAAAAGTAGCTTCAAGCAGACCTTGGTTGTAGGCAGGGGCAGCCTTCGAAAGTTTTTAGCAGT